TAATATAGTTCTGGTTTCAAAAACAGTTGCTCCCCCCCCATAAGACTAAAACTAGGCTGTCTTGTTTATTTCCATTAAAATTTTATTTTAAAACAGTTGTAAGTAGATAATAACTTAGAAGTATCAGTAAATTGGTAGACTGATGATCATAAACTGCTTTGCAATATATTAAACTAGGGCAAACTTGAAAAACTGACGTCAGGAAACCAATTTCACTATATTAAAGCCTGTCCTTTCCTTTATCACAAGTCATCCGTTTCCTGTACTGGAAGTTTCTAAAATTGTTTTTAGTACTCTAAGAATGACTTCCTGCCTTTAGTAGACCTGACAGTGTATCTATCTTAGTTAGCTGGTACTGCTTTAACAGAAATATCACAAGTGGATAGCTTTGTTGTGGTTAGATGCCATTGAGTCCAGTACTAATCATAGCGACCCTAAGAACAAAAGATCAGGACCCTGTTTTATCTTGAGTCATCCTCATACTTCCTGACACACAAGAGCCCATTGTGCCAGTTACCCTGTCAAGCCAAGTCATTGAGGGTCATCTTCTACTTTGTTGACCCCACACCCTAGCAACATGCCCCAAGTATGTGAGGCAAACCTCATAATTCTGCTTACATAGAGCACTCCAGCTTCACCTTCTCCAAGACATACCCTAAGAAAATGAGAACTGAGGCACAAACAGAAATTTGTACACCAATGTTCATAGCAGCATTATTCACCATTGCAAGGACATGGAAATAGCCAAATGTCCAACCACAAACGAATGGATTGAGAAATTATGGTACATTCACACAACAGAATACTATGCAACACTCAGGAGCAATAACATTGTAAATTATTACCTAATTTGGGAGGAACTGGAGAGTATTATGCTGGATGACCTAACTTAGTCCCACAAGGATAAATATTGTATAAAACTGTTATTATGAAATGAGTGTAAGGATCCAAGAGGGGTGAGACAGGGTGGAAGCAGGGGGATGAAAATGTGGAGGGGGAGGATGGGTTAATCATGGGTTGCACAATTAGATGGGGGCGGGGGATGAGGGAAATGGAAAGAATATGTTCTTGAAAACAATGCATTTGAATATTGTAAACAAACTATAGAGAATTTTTTTTAAAGAAAGAAATGGATGGCTTTAACAAATAGAGATCTATTTTCAAACGATTTAGAAAGCTGGAAGTGCTCCGGTAGGGTGCCAGCTCTAGGGGAAAGCTCACTTTCTCTTGATTCTGGAGAAAGCTTTTTGTCTTTCCTGAGCATCTGCTCCATGGCAATCTTAATGTGGCTTGCCATTTTCCTTTCTCCATCTGTGTGTTATAGCCTGCATTTTTCCCTTTAATATATCAAAAGTTGAAAGTCTGAGTGGCATCCACTTCCAAAATAGCTTGCCTCCGGAAACACTAGGAACTTGGAGAAATGATGAAAGTTATACAAGTGTTCAGGTCTTTCATTCATAAGGTCACTATGAGTCACCTACGACTCAACAACACTCAACAACAACAACAAAAAAATCAAAGGAAAAGGACTTTGGCTATATTTTACATTATTTTTTACTCACTGACATAATAATAAAGACACTCTATTCCTAAGGAGGGTGGTAATCATAGGATAGGATTTATATCACAGACCTTGGGGAACACAATTCAAAACATGACACATGTTGTTTTCGGTACTACATCTAAATCAAGTATCAATCTAGAGTTTAAGCTTTATTGCTCAAAGAAAATTGTTGTTGTTATGGGTCGTCAAGTCACTTGCGACTCATAGCGACCCTATGTACAACAGCCCTAAACTCCACTCTGTCCTGTGCCAATCGCACCATCCCCGATACGACCATCCCAACTGCCCCAGTCACTGAATCAATCCACCTCATAGAGGGCCTTCTGTGCTATCCCTCCCCCCTACCAAGCATGATGTCCCTCTCCAAGGACCGGTCCCTCCTTATAACATGTCCAAAGTATGTTAGACGGAGCCTCAGAATCCTTGCTTCCAAGGAGCTGCCTGGTTTGACCCTTTCCAGGATGAATCTGTTTGTTTTCCTAGCAGTCCATGATATGCTCAATACACTTCTCTAGCACCACAGCTCAAAGGCATCAATTCTCCTTCTATTCTCCTTAGTCATTGTCCAGCTCTCTAATGTATAACAAGTGATTGCAAAGACCATGGCTTGTATCAGATGCACCTTAGTCTCCAGAGAGACACCATTGCTCCTCAGTACTTTGGAGAGGTCCCTAACAGCAGACTTTCCCATGGCAATGTGCCTTTTAATTTCCTGTCTACTGGTGCCAAGATTGTTGACTGTGGAGTCAAGCAAACTAAAGCTGTGAACAATCTCTATCTCTTCACCATCCTTCCTGATGCTGCCAATTGGCCCAGTGGTAAGAATTTTTGTCTTTTTGACATTGAGCCTCAATCCATATTGGAGGCTACAGTGCTTGACCCTCTGCAGTAAGTGCTTCAGGTCCTTCTCAGTTTCAGCAAGCAGGGTTGTGTCATCTGCATATCGCAGATAGTTGCTAGATCTTCCACCAATCTTGACCCCACATTTCTCCTCATAGAGCCCAGCCTCCCAGATAATCTGTTTTGCATACAGGATGAAAAGGTATGGAGACAGGACACATAACTGGTGCACGCCCTTCCAAATTTTGAACCATGTAGTGTTCCCTTGCTCTGTTCTGACGACTGCCTCTTGGTCCAAGTATAGGTTTCTCATTAGCACAATCAAGTGTTCTGGGATTCCCATTCTTCTCAGAGTTAGCCACAGTTTGTTATGGTCCACACAGTCAAACGCCTTTGCATAGTCAATGAAAAACAGATAGACATTCCTCTGGTATTCCCTGCTTTCAGCCAAGATCCATCTAACATTAGCTACAATATCCCTAGTACCACGTCCCCTCCTAAACCCAACCTGGACTTCTGGCAGTTCTCTGCTGACGTGTTGTTCCAGTGGTTTTTGGATAATCTTCAGAAGGATCTTGCTTGCATGTGAAATAAATGATATTGTTCTATAGTTTCCACACTCTGCTGGGTCACCCTCCTTTGGGATGGAAACAAATATAGATCTCTTCCAGTCAGTTGGCCAAGTGGTTGTTCTCCAGATTTCTTGGCACAACTTGGTGAGCACATCCAGGGCAGCATCTGTTAGCTCAAATATGTCAATTGGTATACCATCTATTCCTGGGGCCTCATTTTTTGCTATTTCCTTCAAAGAAGCTTGAACTTCTTCTTTCATCACCATAGGCTCTTGCTCATATGTTGTTTCATGAAATTCTTCTGTGTCTGCCAATTCCTTTTGATACAGTGACTCAGTATATTCTTTCCATCTTCTTTTAATACTTCCTGGATCATTTACTATTCTGCAGAAAGCATCCTTGATTATAGCAGCTCAAGGTTTGAATTTGTTCTTCAGTTCCTTGAGCTTAAGTAATGCTGAGAGTGAGGAGGACTGGACGCCATTAGTGGAAGTCCAGCCTGCAAGTAGGTGGGCTTCAGGGTTATTCAGAGTTCAGCCTGCAAACACGTAACTTTGGTTTAATAATTAAAGAGAAACCTTTGTCCTCTGTTCCGCAAATGGGCTGAGAACTCCAAGATCTTTCTTCCCGTTAATCATATATCTTAAGGTGTTTCGGTCTCCCGATTCTTTTCATGTCAAAGGCAACATCTTTCATAAGGAACAGAGTGGATGTCCTCCCTTGATATATTTTTTTCTGTACTGATTTTTTATGATTCTAAGAAAATTGAGAAATGAGATCACTGTTTATTATGATTCTATGGAAACCCTAGAAAATGAGATCATTGCTTAAAACCCTATATATTCTAATAAACCCACACCAATGAGGTCTGGCGCATCTTGTCCTGTCTGTGTGAGCGTTTTTCTTCGCGGCAGTCCTGTCCTGTCTTCTGTGTGCGTTTGTCTCTTTATGTTCATTTCTTCCAGGCATTGTGTAAAGGGTTGCAGTTTGCAACAGAGTGAGTTCGGCCCTTTTTCTGACTCCAACTCCTTGCACATTTCATTGTAATATTTTACTTTGTCATCCTACGCTGCCTTTTGAAATCTGCTCTTCAACTCTTTGGTATCTTGAGGTCTTCCTTGTGCTTTGGCTTCTCTGCGCTACAGTGCAATTTTCAGAGTCTCTCTGACATCCATTTTGGTCTTCTCTTCCTCTTCTATCTTTTCAATAACCATTTGCACTCTTCCTGGATGATACCCTCGATATCCTCCCACAACTCATCTGGTCTTCGCTCATTAGTGTTCAAGGCCTCAAACCTGTTTCTGAGCTGGTTCTGAAATTCTGGGGGGATAGACTCAAAGTCATTTTTTTGGTTCCTGTGGACTTGGTTTCATTTTCCTCAGCTTCAGCTTGAACTTGCATAAATTCTTCACACTATCATATGTCCATCCATTAGTTCATCCATTTCCCCCCATATCCATCAAAGTGCAAACAATTATATGTGTTCTTAAGCCTGAAGGTGACAATTAAAAGACATTTTCATTTTCTAGCATTTTCACTACATTGTTATTTTCTGGAAGATCCCTAATGGTGAGAAAAAAATATTTTTCTTAAATGAATAATGGGGTAACTGTAATTTAGGAAAGAATGTGAGAGTATCAAGACAATAATAGTCAACTATGGATAAATCAAGCATATCCATCTTGGGAACACATAATTACCAATTAAATTTTTTTTTTGCCTGAAATACAGACGCTTTCAAATCATATACAAAAAAGTTTTACCACATTCTTGCTTAGATTCTATAGACTAAGTCCTACTCTAAAAACCATTAATTTTCCACAAGTATTTTTATTCTCACGTTTGCACACGGTTTCTTCTCCCAGGTGATACTTCCCTTTTACTAATCTCATTTTCTTCCCTTGCCTCATAAGCCTGGAAACCTAGAATGTTCCTAAATATCTCACAAATTTTATAAAAGGTAAAAGCAAACACAAAAAGTTACCAGAGTTGAGAGAAGAAATAAATGTTTAATGAAATCTCACCTGTATCTTGTACAAGAAGTGTTCTGACCTGAAGGAGCTACTGGCTTAAAAGTGATGAGTGGGGAAACCTGGGCTGATAGCAGAAATCCCAAAGCAAGAATAATAAGGGCGACGGTGGTACCTTAAAAGAAAAGAAAAAGTCGTATCAGAAAATAGGATAGTATAATATATTGCTCCACAGGAGATTAGGATTGGCAAAACGTACATATGAGCTGCTACTCTATCTTCCCTGGATTTAAAAAAAAAATTCCCATAATATTTAAACAAAGGGGCTCTCGCAGCCTAGTAGGTAAAGGAGTTGTACTGCCAACTTTAAGAAAGACCATTTGAATCCAGCAGCTGCTCCATAGGAAAAAGATGGATTTCCCATGGGATTTACAGCTTCTGAAAATCTGCTGGAGAGTCAGCTATGAATAAACTCCAATTTGATGACAATGAACTGAGTTTTGTAATATATAAACAAATGATCGGAAAAAATCATAATTATACTATGTGCATTATGTCGGTTTTGTTATGTACCACACTAAGTCCAAAACGACCTATAGCTGACCCTCCAGCGAATTTTCAGAGGCAATAAATCACATGGAGGAGATTGATCATCTTTCTCCCACAGAGCAGCTAACTGGTGGGCCTTGTACCTTTGCAATGACAGTGCAATCCCTTCCAACTAAGCCACCAGAACTCCCTCAGAGGAGAGTGAGATACAGAGCAAATGCCAGTCATGTGGTGGGTTGGGACTGACTTTCATGAAAAAATTATGGATTATCATCAGTGTCCAAAATAAATGAATGTAAACAATATGGACTGGTTAAATTGCTAGAACATATAAAAGCAAAAGTTTTTCACCAAGTCTTCTTTAAGTATTAAAAAACTGTTCCAATGACATTGGTCATGGAAGAGCCAAACTAGTAAAGTAAAAAACAAAACAAAACAAAACCATTTTAAAACTTGAACAAGTGCTTTAAGGCTTCAAGTTTCTAAACATGATGAAACATGTGCAGGTACTTTCTATGTAAGTTGCTGTTAATTACGACTGAATCAGAACCTATCCATAGCTAACTCCCCCAGCTGTAAATAAGGGTAAGCTGTAAATAAGCTGTGAATAAGATTGACCATCTTTCTCACACAGAGTAAGTGGCAGATTTGAACCTGCCTGACTTTGGGCTGGCAGAGGAATTCTTCCTTTTAAATATATTGTTGCTATTGTTGTTAGGTGCTGTTGAGTTGACTAGGACTCACAGTGACCCGGTTCTATCCTGTTCCATCCCACATTTCCTGATACACTAGAGCCCACATCAGCAGTCACCGTGTTAATCCACCTGGCTGAGACTCTTCCTCTCCTTTGCTGACCCTCCACCCTTCCCAGCAACAATATTTATTTATTTTCACTGTTGAATATTTTCTTCCCCACGTCCAACCTGACTCGCAAGGCACCCCTTGCTGCAGATTATTGTCATACATATAGTGCCTAATCACATATTCTTTTTGAACAGTTCTTCCCCTCATCTGTTCTAATGCAGTGTTCATTAACCACTCTCTTCCCCTTCACTCCCCAACCTCTCCATTTTATAACAGAGCAGTGTTTGTTCTTTTGTGACTAAAATATTTCACTCAGCATAATGTGGTCCAGGCTCTCCCATTCTGTATAATGTTTTAAAATTTCATTGTTTTTCATCATGTGAATATACTATAGTTTTTCTATCCATTAGTTTGTTGATGGGCACTTGGGTTCCTTTCATCCCTTTAATATTGTGAATAACACAGAAATCAGCAGGGGTTTGCATTCATCTGTCTGAGTTGTTGCTCTGGTTTCTTTAGGATATATTTCCAGTAGTGGAATCACTGAATCACATTATTCCTATTTACTTATAATTTTGAGAACGTCTCGGACTGCTTTTGATAGTGGTTGCACCATTTTACACTCCTACTGGCAGTGAATAAGGGTTCCAATATCTCCACAACCTTACCAGCACTTGTTTGCTGTCCTGTTGAACTTTGTTACTGGGGGGAGATGAAATCTCATAGCTGTTTTGATTTGCATTTTTCTAATACCTAGGGATTTTGACCACTTCATGTGTTTGCTTCCCATATGAAGGTCTTCTTTGCTGAACTATCTATTCATATTCTCTGCCCATTTTGTAATGCGGATATTTACCTTTATCTTGTGCTATTTTATACATTTTAGCTATGAGTCCCTTATTAGATAGGTGATTGCCAAATATTCTTCCCAGCCTGTGGGTTACCTTTTTATCCTAATGGCAACGTTTTTGATGTGCATAGGGATTTAAGAAGGTCCCATTTATCTATTTTATTCTCTCAGTTTTAAATTTTTTATTATGCTAGGAAGACTGTTCATGTTGTGGATTAGGGCTTTGGGAGTTTTTCCTAGTTTTTCTCTGATGAATTTTATACTCTTTGATTTTACTGCTAGGTCTCTGATCCACCTTGAGTTGGGTTTGTGTATGGTGTGAGTGTGGATCTTGCTTAAGTTTCCTCCAGATGGTTTTCCAATTTTGCGAACACCATTTGTTAGAGAGACTGTGATTTCTCCCCTTAATTGGTTTAATCTTCTCACCAAAGATCAGTTGATGGTAAGTAGATAAGTAGATTTCTGGATTCTAAATTCTAATTCATTCATCTATGTGTCTGCCCTTGTACCAGTACCATGCTGTCTTCACCACCCCAACTGTGTAGTAGGATTTAAGATGAAGGAATGTGATACCTCATATCTTATTTCTCTTTTTCAGTAGTGTTTTGCTTATTCAGGGTCTCTTAGCATTCTAAATAAAATTGGAAATTGCCTTTAATATCTTATTGAAGAATGGATTAGTATCTATACTGGCATTGCACTGAACCTGCAGATTGCCTTTTGTAGAATTGTCATTTCCATGATATTTAGTCTTCCTATTCATAAATGGTATATTCTTCTGTTTCTCCAGGTCTCTTAGTTTCTTGTAGTAATGTTTTGTAATTTTCTTGTATAGATCTTTTGTGCCTCTAATTAGATTCATTTCCAAGTATTTTACATTGTGATTAGCTATTGTAATTGGTATTATTTATCTTGACTCCATTTCTACATTCTCTTTGTCACTGTAGAGAAATCCAATTGATTTTTGTATGTTTATCTTGTACCTTGCTACTTTTCTGAATTGGCTGACTATGTCCAAGAGTTTTATCACTGATTCTTCAGGGTTTTCTAGGTGTACTATCATATTATATCATCTGCATATAGAAATAGTTTTACCTACTCTTTGCCAATTTGGGTACCTCTTATTTCCTTGTCCTGTTTTACTGTTTCTGCTAATACTAAAAGGAGAGGTTGTTGTTAGGTGTGGGCATCCTTGCCTAGTTCCTATTCTCAAGGGAAATGCATTTAATCTCTCTCCATTGAGAATGATGTTAGCTCTTGGTTTTGTGTATATACTTTTCACTATGCTAAGGAAATTCCCACCTGCTCATGTTTTGTTAAGTATTTTAATCAGGAAGTGCTGATGGTTTTTTCGTCAAAGGCCTTTTCTGCATCAATTGATAGTATCACGTGGTTCTTATTCTTTGCTTTGTTAATGTGACTAATTACATTAATTGTGGTTCTTATGTTGAACCATCCTTGCAAACATGTTAAGAAACCCACTTGGTAATGATGAATTATTTTTTTTAATGTACTGATGGATTCTATTGGCCAGAATTTTATTGAGAATTTTTGCATCTATGTTCATGAGAAATACTGGCTTTTAGTTTTCTATTTTGTTGGTGTCTTTACCTGACTTTGGTATCAGGGATATGTTTGCTCATTGAATGCGTCTGTGAGTATTCCATGTTTTTCTATTTTCAGAAATACTTTATGTAGAATGGGTGGCAACTCTTCTCTGAATGTTTGATAAAATTCACGAGTAAAGCCATCTTGTTCACAGATTTTGTTGTTGTAGGTCGTTCTATGATCTGTTAAATTTCTTCTTTTGTAATGGATCTGTTCAGATGTTCCACTGAGCTCTTTCCTGTCCTGTGCCATCCTCATCATCTCTGCCATACTTGAACCCACTGTTGCAGTCACTGTGACAATGCAACTCGTTGGGAATCTTCCTCTCTTTTGTTGATCCTGCACCTTTATTTCCATGCATGAAATATCCCTTTATCCTTTATCCCTTCAAGGAATAATCTTTCCTAGCAGCATACCCAAAGCATGTGAGACAAAGCTTAGCCAAAATTTTCTCCAAGGAGCACTCTGGCTTTCTCCTTCTTTCTTTCTGGTTTTTGGTTGTTTTTGTTTTTTATTTTAACTTTTAAAAAAATTTTTTGTAGTTAATTTTAATGAAAGTTTACAGAGACTTCGGGTTTCCAGTCATTCATTGTTGCACTTTTCTCCATACCCACCTGCTCCCCTCCCCCCGCCGCAATTCATTCTTCTCCTTGAAAAGAAAGAAAAAACTCTTTCATTGTTATGCAATCCCTCCCCCCAAGTCCACTCCACTATGCAGACTTCACTCTGGACTTCTCTAATTAGAAGAATGCCCATTCATATATCCCTTTTAAACAGTTCTCTCCCTCATCTGCTACAATATACATCATTCCTCCCCTCTTTTTCTATTTACCCTTAACCCTGATGTCAGTCCCATCTTACAACAGTGGCCCTATGCAATATTTGTCCTTTTGTGACTGCGATATTTCACTCAGCATAACGTCCTCCAGGGTAATCCATTTTGGATAGAATTTCATGAGTTTCTTGTTTTTCAATGCTGCATAGAATAACATTGTGTGAATATACCAAAGCTTCACTACCCATTCATTTGTTGATGGGCACTAGGGAACATAGATAAACAAACTAGGCATTAGCAGCACTGGCAAAACAAGATACCATGATCCAAAATATGAGGTTAAATGTGTCAGATGCTGTCAACATGATGGACACATGAGCAGAATTGAAGAGATGGAACAGAGAACCAGTGAAATATTAGATAGAATTGTCACCACTGATCTGCTAGAACAAAAAGCAGACTCAAAAATGAAGGAAAAAGAAGAAAAACTAAGAATAATGTGGGACACCATCAAAAGAAATAACATGTGCATCGTTGTAATCCCAGAACAGGAAGATGCAATTAAAGGCACTGAAAAGTGGTGGAAAAA